TATATATATATATATATATATATACTTGTTGGATAAAGGCGTCTGCTAAATACGTAGAAGTATATGTAAATATAGGAAAAATGCCTACTGATAGTTAGGCGAGATAAATGTCAAAAACACAAATAAATTCAAAATGAGAAGAATTTAAACGACAATTTTCTGTGCAGATAAGATAGCTTGCTGCTCATTCTTCAACGTTTATAAGCGCGTTAAATAGAAAAACAAAGAGGAATCAACTTACAGTTTCGAGTTACTTTCTCTTTCAGACCAGTGTTATGAACACACTTCCTTCTGCTGAATATTCACCCTCACGAAATATCCTCACAGTATCTCACATGATGACGGCTGTATTAAAATGCATTAGAGATCAATGCGGGGATCAGCAGTCTCTCATCCCGTACAGGCTGCTCTGGATGGAGGGTCTCATGGAGAGACCGTCAACCGTGTGAACTGAAGTCACATGATGCCCGCTCAGTTTAACGCTTGGAAAGGGAACAGGAAAGGTTGAGCTAAACACTCCCCAAACCTGTTTTTGCACGTTTTCTGGGAGTCAATAAATACTTTTTTATTTTTAAATATCTCTGGATTTACATAAGCCACTCTTATGTTGAAACGATATAACGCATACAATGTTCGTAATACCTGAGAGATTTCATTGCAAAATCGAACTAGATTCTGAGAGAAGTAAACAAATCGTTCTTTTGCGTCGAATCTTTTCGATGATTCGATTGAACCGATGCACAATACCGATCTGAAAAATGCGTTCTCGACTCGAGACTCATTGAACAGAACATGTTTTTGAATTGAACATGTTCAATTGGTACTTTTTATGAGCTGAATCATGCCTGCAACACGCCTAATTGGGACACATTACAATACATTTGATTAAATATTCTAAAAATGTTATAAATATTTATAAAACTAAACCTGAACACCCGTAATAAACAGCAATAACTATGCAGGATGTCAGGAACCACGCACTTTTTCCTTCTTTCTTCTTATTTATTTATTTGGAACCAGTTATTTGAAGCGAAACCTGTGCTGTCTTGTAATTTATTTTGTTAAAGGATGCAATAGTTTATTGTCTTATTATTTTGCTTTATTTTTTTATTGTATCTCAAATTTATTTGCTCTTATTTTGGTAATTTTCATTCCTATATTTACTATATTAAGTCTGTACTTTTGCATGCATATTTATTTATTTATAAATTTAAAAAGAACAAACAAGTTGATATGTAATACAAAAATATTAGAATAAAATCATTTGTTTTAAGGCCAGATCTTCAGAGGGTTATATTTTCTGAGCATAAAAACTTAAATTTCAATGCACTTACCATACAAAATTTCCTGAGAGTGTTGCATTTTTGTATTTAACAACTCAGTGGACTTCAGTGGTTTGCATTCATTGCAAAATCATTCAATGATTAATGAAGTCTTGATTACAACATGGGATTTGTAATTCATTTTGCACTAGAATTGCACTGCATTTAACTGCACATACATTCAATAAAATCACTTCGACCATTAAAGCCTCGTTTAACATATAGGCAGCATCTAACACCCAGATAACTCTAAGTGGATATGCCATCAGCAGAATCAATTCCTGATGGACGTTTAATCTTGCACCCTCAACATACACAGACATGCTGTTCTTTCCTAGTGGGATTTATACTCTAAACTGCAGATTAGACCTAAAGAGTGCTCTATCAAAGTAATCCTTCGTTAAAGTTCTCTTCTCATCTGTCGAGAGAGCCGACACTAATGGGAAAGGGAAAAGATGTGGTGGAAAAATGACAAAGTCCCTCTAGATTTTAGTTCAGTTTAGTTTAGCAACAAGCTTCATGAATCATGACACAGTCAGCAGAGATTATTTCAGATGCTGCACAACACAGAAGATGTGCAAGGAGCGTTGAAGAGCATGCAGACACACTACAGATTGATGGGTCATGTCTTACATTCTCAGAGTCACATGGTCCTTAAACGAAGCTGAAGATCTGCATTTCTGAGGCAGATAAATACTAGTTAACCTCTGAGGGCAGAAGTGTCAACCGCAAAGATGGGGAGACCAGGGTGCAAACTACGGGGGAGCTAGGGGGAGCTCGGCTCCCCTTAATAAGACATGGGCTCCCCATGAAAACGGGATCTGTGAAATTTTGGGGGGTCTCAAAAAATATTGACAATGTGTTATTTTGACGTGCAATTTCAGTTTTGTGTAATGTGATCATCGTGGATTATTATGTGTAAAATTGCAAAAATATCATTCATTCATGCATGACGGCGATTTAAACCTTCCCCCAAAGTCCACGGTATAGTTCGAACACTGGGGGAGACCCTTGCTTGACCCTTAGAAAAGCACCTGTGTTGCAGGTGTCAGTGTCAAAGCTGGGATGAGGTAATAAGCTGTGATGCCAGATCCGCTCATGGGGTTTCTGAAAAGGTGTCTTGTATCCTGAGAGTCAAAACAACATCAAAGGCTGTTGCTGTGGACATTCCAAACTGTTATTTAGGAATGTGATTGATGCTTATACAGTGGACCCAAAAAGTATTTCGACACCTATGCATAAATGTCACCATGTTAGGTAACAAAATATCAAACAAATGGCATTTATTTTAAATGAAGACAGCACAAACCCACTTCTGATAGGTTCTAAATGATAAAACAATCAATATACTGTAAAAAAAAAAAACAAGACAAGATTTAGTATCATTTATCTAATGCAATAGTTCTCAAACTAAGAAGCTGGAACAACTGTTAGTAAAGTTATTATAATGCATGCAGCAAAACACTTTATCATAACTAACATCAGTCAGTTAATTCATTGTTATGAATTCATTCATTTAAAGTTGTTAAATGACGATTAAATGATTAAATAAAATGCTTATTTGTTTATAAATATATCATTATGCTGATTCTGCATTTACAGCTGATCTATAATACATTACTGTCTTCACTTGTTTTGACTGGACAAAACAGCGGTCACAGACACAACAGAGCCACCCTCGCCTTCTTCTCTCCCATTCACTCTCACAGCTGTTATTTTTCTATTATTCCATCTACAATTTCAACACAAGTTTAAAATATAAAGAAATGACTCACATACATACACAAAAGGGGGCCAAAATCAACACGAGTTATTCCCAAAACAGCATTAATTATTAATGGGTCAAAATACATTATTAATCATAATTATTTAGTTGGTCATCAGGTCATTGTTTTTACATTTGTAAATAACATTTATATTGTACAAATATATAATTGAATGAAAGAATAATAGACCGTATGTTTATTTGTTTGTCAATATTTTTATCAGTATTGTTGTCTGAAATAAACAAATTATATATATATATATATATCTGTTGTATCTGTGTGTGTGTGTGTATAATGGGTATAGACATAATTTTGAGTTAATGTATACACCATATATTTGTATAAATGATATATGGCATACATAATGTATATTTGTGTGTGTATATGTCCCTCCTTATTAAATGTGATCAAGTATGATGTACAGTGTCTTAGAATGGTAAAATCAGATACTTGAGAAAAAGAAACCAAGACCTGCTCATTCATTCATTCTTAATAAGTAGACCTACACTATGTTCTCACCTCTCTGGTTCATATCCCGCCTGTATTCGGGTGGCACTGTAGCGCTGGGAAGCCGTCTCGTGCCCGTGCCCATGTAGTATATTATGGGTAAACGGGCCATGAAAGTGATGATCCGAGTCTCGTAAAGACATCCGTGGCCTGGCCGGCTCCATGTCCCCCACAATACGCCGGTAATCAATTTGGTAGCTGTCCCTGTCTCCATCCGCATAGCGGTCATACCCGTGCCCATCCATATCAGCGAAATCCAGCGGGTCGTCCTCCACCGTGGCTCTGTTTGAGCCCAACCAACCCCAAAAAACACCTGATTGTTGTCTCACCCCCCTCACCTGAGACCACCTCACAGTCACAGCTGTTTGCTCATACACCAAAGTTTAAAAGAATACAAAATCAATAAGAGAAGGATATGGGAGTCCTCCGTTAGATTTGTATCTCATTTGCATAAGCTATTAGCATCTTCCAAACCACAGGCCAAAGTTGTAGAGTTGTGCGAGTGCAAATCAGGTTACCTGTAGATGAAGTTGAGATTTTGATCAGCAATTGAAAATCCCAAATTTCAAATGTCCAAAATGAGAAGCTTCGAAGATCTGGTTGGATGTCTTTTTCGCAGTCCCACTGATCAACCTGAAAGAAAAACCAGATCACAGAACCTCAGACAGTAGTTAACCGGATGGCAGACAAGCAGAAATTGAATGAGCCTTGTTCTCTCTCTCCCTGTTTCACTTCAGCTAAGCTCTGTTTCTGACAGAAGCGCGTCACTTTCACAAAGAGGATTGCAGAATTAAGTGTGCATGTGTGTTTGTGTGTGTGCTTTAACAGGGGGAGGAACTTGTGGTGCATGGTATTCACTAATGGAGCGAAAGACAAGGGATGGGTTTTACATGCCCCACCTCTTGTTTCTCCAAAGGTATTTTAACATTGCAGTGCACATTTGAGATTTTGTGTGGCTATGAAAAGCATGCATTTGTGACAATTAAAATATGTGTTAACAGTATATTTGGGGCGTCATTTTCATTCTTTTGCGTGAGCATGCATGCATACGCCTCTGTCACTATGTGTACGCACAGCCTAGAAACGGCTTTCTCACAAACAAAGTCAAATCCCAGGGTACACTGATGGAGTGTGCTCAACCCTGGAGAGGTTTCAGGTTGGAGCAACAGAAAACGGCTCTTGATGGGCTAATTACACGCAGACGCTCTGCAAGAAGTGCTCTGGCAAAACCGTGGCTTGAACAAACATGCACCCTTGTTTGTGTGCACAGGTAAACGAGTGTCCTTCCTTACATCAGACACTTGTGTTGACCTATTTATTTTGAGGAAAAGGCAATTAGCTTGTGATTGAAGGTGTGTGGTTTGTGTCTGTCTGCATGTTGTGGGAAGGTTTTGGGAGAGGAGAAAGGGGTTATGGGTACACAAATAGGTGTTTATGTCGTAGGATGTTACGTTGTCAACAGGTCAGCCAGGTATTCAAATCCCCTTCTCACCATCACTAAGCAGGAAGAATTAACAGACTTATGTAAGGAAGGCAATTGTTCCTACACTGCCACCATCTGGCAAACCTCCAACAGAACAGGATGGGGTGTGAATTGTATTTGTGGAAATTGATGAACTGTGTATTCAGCAAACGCCCTGTTGGGGTGTATAATTGCACACATACTGTACATTTTGTCATTTTAAAAACAAATAAACATATCGATTATGATTACGATTGTTGTGTACACTGGGAAAAATATAATTTATTTCAATCAGTATTGTTGCAGTATATTTTACACTTTATGTATGTGTGTATGTGTGTGTGTAATTTTTTACTATCATTATTATTGTTAATATTTATGTGTATTATTATGATCCACTCCATGTTTGACTCTATTTCTTCTATGGAACACAAAAACACAATTTCTTAAGAATATCCTGGCCACTTTTCATGTAGTGAAAGTGAAATGTCAAAAACGACAAAAAAGCACCATAAATGTATTCTTAAATTGACTTTGTGTGCTACATTATAAGTCTTCTGAAATTATATAGTAGTTTTATGTGAAGAACAGACTAAAATTTGAGTTCTCATTATGTACTTCATGATACATTTATGGTGTTCCTTTGTCATGATGGAGCTTGACAGACATCTCCTTACGATATATTAAAAAATATCTAGAACATTCCTTCTGTCCCACAGGAGGAAGAAAATCATACAGGTTTGGAATGGCATGAGGATGAGCAAATAATGACAGAATTGTCAACTATTTAAAATAAGTTAATTTGTCTTAACTCATAGGCAAATGCTTTCACTGGAAACCAAGACAAAAATATGACCTACGTCTAACCGTCGCAGAAACCTGTACACATCATTTGATTTACATATTAACATGATCTGGCCAATTCATGAGCATTTTTAAGTAGTTAGGACAAATATGATACCTAATTATATTAGTTAATTATATTAGTAAGGATGTTTGGCCCTCACAAGCATAACCAAACCAAACAACCTCATTAACATCAACAAGGAGACAGAGTTGCTAAGGGTCTGATGAAAAGTCTCATCTGTAAGTGACAGAGTGCTTGTGACAGTTGCAGGGGATTGCGGTAGGAAAGCCTCTTATAGGCACTGACTGCAGCTTCCCAATGCTGCTGAGAGACTGCAAGTTTACTTCACACACACACACACACACACACACAGTCTAAAACAAACAGCAAAATAATGACAGAATTGTCAACTATTTAAAATAAGTTAATTTGTCTTAACTCATAGGCAAATGCTTTCACTGGAAACCAAGACAAAAATATGACCTACGTCTAACCGTCGCAGAAACCTGTACACATCATTTGATTTACATATTAACATGATCTGGCCAATTCATGAGCATTTTTAAGTAGTTAGGACAAATATGATACCTAATTATATTAGTTAATTATATTAGTAAGGATGTTTGGCCCTCACAAGCATAACCAAACCAAACAACCTCATTAACATCAACAAGGAGACAGAGTTGCTAAGGGTCTGATGAAAAGTCTCATCTGTAAGTGACAGAGTGCTTGTGACAGTTGCAGGGGATTGCGGTAGGAAAGCCTCTTATAGGCACTGACTGCAGCTTCCCAATGCTGCTGAGAGACTGCAAGTTTACTTCACACACACACACACACACACACACAGCCTACTGCATGCAGATTAGTATGTATATATTGTATAGCTGTATCTAAAGAATTCATGTAGGTTTAAATGTATAGGTCTATTATATTATTGTTCATACACCTCTTCCAATCCAAGCTTGTCATCTTTTCACATTTTCTTTCTGTTACATGTGACAGAATTATCTGCCTTATTAACTCTTAAGAAATCTGTGTGTCTGTGGAAACATCAATTTGTTGACTAAATATTCTGGTTAAACATACAGTGTGATTCAGACGCTCACCTGATGGGATGACAACCTAATCCAGTTTAGTATTGGTCACTGACGTCTAGGTGAAAGTGACTTTGAAAGTATCTACGATTTATGTACTCGTTTTAAAGCATCAGTGTTGGGCAGTAGTGTCGCTACAAACTGTCACGCTGTTTCCGAGTTGCTAATTTGCACAGTGTAGCTGTAATTTCGTTCACAAACTCCAAAACGTTAAATTTTTACTGAAATGATCATTCAACATTCATGTAGTTATGTCTGAGAATCAGAACTCTTTTGAGTCAGTTCTTTTTTAATGAAAAGGTTTGAATCGGTTCGCGCTTTTGGTTATGAATCAAACGATTCAGAATCGGACGCCTCACGAACTCGTGTTGTCTGGGGCAATTTTCACTCCGCGAAATTAACGCGATAGACGCAGAACTATTTAGTTGGAAGCACAAGAAACAAAAATAGTGCTGAATTGAGTAGATATTTACCTACAAAACCTTTAAAACACTTTTCGATTTGATAAAGATGTCTTTATTATGTTCGACACCTGCACGTGCAACTTGTGAATGAATCATGAGGTAGGCTACCTCAGGTAAAACATTCTTCAGTTCACGAAAACACCTGAGTTACCGTGTTATTTATTTATATTTTTATTGGTGGTAGCAAGGCGTTTTGAAGTCTAATAATATTGTACGTGATATGGTCATCTTTCAGTACAGTGGGTTATCTAAGTGTTGTGTCACGTGAACAAGTAGTTTAGAGATGATTTTGCTGCGGTTGCTGTATCTATCAAACTAGGGCTTAACTGCATTTTGCAAACCAACATTTGGTTATTAGAGCTATTCAAATTAGCATCATTGTGAATGTCGATAGTCGTGCTAATGCATTTATCTGTGTGATGTTAGAAGGTTGTGTAAGTCGTTTTGTAGCTTATTTCTTCAGTGCTCTTTAAGGATTGGAACAGAAAGAATTGAATTCTGGAAATTACAGTACTGTATTTTGTCATAGTACATCCAACTCTTGCTCAATCTCAATATCATTTCATACTTTTGACACCATTTTGAACTTGGGTTAAATTCAGTATTTGCTTGCATTCATTGTGCGTACTTAAACGAGTATCATTAAAATAAAGGATGTAAGTTATTAACTTATATAAAAATGTAGTGTTTAATCATGTTTAAATATTTATTCAAATGAAAAACTTAAAAATAAGAAAGCAGGTATGACCAGCAATATTCTAGATACATGTATATTTAGTAAAGAGCCATACAGGTACAAATGAAAATGTTTTTTTTTTCCTACAACAAAATGACTAATTTGCCTCTTTGCATTGGAATTTAAAACGCTTTTCTCTATTTTAACCTTAAATAATACTCTAATTGTAATATAAGTAATAGAAATATTAGAAAAAAATATTTTAAGTCATTAATGGACCATCATTATTGCACAAATAGTATTTAGTGCCAAAAGATCTCCTCAAAATATTAAATAAATATTATTGAACTAAAATATAGAACACCTATTTAACTGAAAAATAGTTACGCTGTATGGTCACATTATAAGTAAGCAATACCTGAGGGTTAAGAAAATCATAATGTTGCCTCTCCAGAATAAAATGATACTGTAAATGTCATCTACGTAATAATCAATGCATAATATGCTGTAATGTTTACAAAAAATGTAGCAAATACCAGTTTAGTGAAGCTGTCATCTATCCAACTTAAACCCATTCAAATGTATTTAGTAAAGAGCCATACAGGTACAAATGAAAATGTTTTTTTTTCCTACCACAAAATGACTAATTTGCCTCTTTGCATTGGAATTTAAAACGCTTTTCTCTATTTTAACCTTAAATAATACACTAATTGTAATATAAGTAATAGAAATATTAGAAAAAAATATTTTAAGTCATTAATGGACCATCATTATTGCACAAATAGTATTTAGTGCCAAAAGATCTCCTCAAAATATTAAATAAATATTATTGAACTAAAATATAGAACACCTATTTAACTGAAAAATAGTTACGCTGTATGGTCACATTATAAGTAAGCAATACCTGAGGGTTAAGAAAATCATAATGTTGCCTCTCCAGAATAAAATGATACTGTAAATGTCATCTACGTAATAATCAATGCATAATATGCTGTAATGTTTACAAAAAATGTAGCAAATACCAGTTTAGTGAAGCTGTCATCTATCCAACTTAAACCCATTCAAATGTATTTATTGTCAACGCTGGTTTGTTTGGAGAGCTCCATGAACCACGTGACCACGCGGCGACGCCGGCGAGATCAAAGCTTGTCGTAACTCTGTTTTTCAATGGCTCTGGCTTTTTTACGCCATA